TCCGCGCCCTCGGCCCCCGCCGGCTCCCCGGGCGCCGCCGCCTCCGGGCCCGCGAGCTCGTCCTTGGCGCCCTCGCCAGCCGCGCCCTCAGCCTCGGCGCCCTCGCCCGCCTCCTTCTTGCTCTTCTTGAAGGAGAAGCCGCTCAACTTGAAGGACTTCTTGAAGGAGAAGCGCTTCTTTTTTTTTTTCGGGGTCTCCCCGCTGGGCGAGGGCGCGGCACCGTCCTCCGCCTTGGGCGACGACGTGGAGGACGCGGCGGACGCGGCCTCAGCCTCGGCCTCGGCGGCGCAGGGGGACCCGGGCTCGGCGGGAGGCTCGGCGGGCGCGGCGGGCTCCGACGCGGCGGCAGGAGGTTCCTCGGTGGGCGCGGCGGGCTCCTCCTGCTCAGCGGCCGGCGCGCTGCCATTGGCCTGCGGCTCCTCCTTGGCGCCCGGCTCGGCGGCCGCGGGTGAGGCGTCGCCGTTGACCTTCACATGGCCGTTCTCCTGCGGGCACAGAGAGCAGCGTCACTCGGCGGCGGGCGGGCGGGCGCACCGTCGGATCCGCGCCGGCGCTCCAGCCCCGCGCCCAAAGCCACTCGGAGAGCGGAGGAGCCCGGGCCTGCCAACGCGCATCGCAGCGCCGCTCCTCGCTGCCGGCAGGGGGCGCCGCGCATCCACTGCGGGCGCCGTTGGCCGGGGGCGGGGCGGGGGGACGGGGGGGAGGGGCGGCGCCCCCCACCCAGCGCAGCCGGGCCCTGCCCGCGGGCCGAGGCGCCCCCGAGCCTCGGCAGCCCGGCTGCAGACAAAGCTCTGGCGGCATGCTGGCCTTCGGCCGGCCAGAGCCCACAGGCTGGGAGAGGCGCTGCCGAGGGCGCGCCTCCGCCTCCACGCCCACCCGCCCCGGACTGCGGAGCCGGGCGCGCCCGGGCAGCGCACTGGGCGTTTAGTAGGTTTAGCCTCCCAACAGGACTGTCTCCCTCCCGCAGCCCAGGCGTCGGGGCTGTGCCCCAGGAGGGGAGGCGGGGTGGGCGCTGGCTGGGGTTCCCCAGGCCCAGCCCGTGCCCGCTGCCCGCCGGGTCGGGGCGCCCACCCTGCGGGGCTCCTGTAGGGGCCCGGCACAGATCCCGTGGGGCTACCGCTTACCCAGAGGGGCGCGGCCCCGCGCACAGCTGGACACAAAGGCTCGGGTGGCGGGGAAGCCCCGGGGAGGCACCAAGGCCTCGGGACTGCACAATGAGGCGGCCTTTCCCTCCGCCCGTCCTCGAGCAGCCCCGCTCGGCCCTTGCACACACACTGCACACGCGCGCACACCAGCTGGGGACCGCGAGGGAGGCTGTCTCCGCCGCCCCGGTCCCCGCACACGCAGCCGGCTCGGAGGGCGCCCCGCAGTCATGTCCGGTCCTCTCGCCGCGCTGGGTCAGCGATCGCCTCTCCTCCCGTCCGCCCCAGGAACCCTCGCGGGGCGGGCGGGCTGGGGACACCTCCGGGGGGCCGGTGGCGGCCGGGGCGTCCCGAGGCATCCAACTTTCCGACGGCAGCCGGGCCACGCCGCTGCCCACCCGGGCCCCAGGAAGGGCGCGCAGGACGGAGGCCCGAGCCTGGGGGTCCTACCTGCCCGTTCGCTTTGGAAGGCGACGAGGCCACGGCCGCCTCCCCGGGCCTCTCCGCGGTGGCCTCTCCCTTGGCGGCGGTCTTGGAGAACTGGGCGCCCATGCTGGCCTCCTCAACAAAGAAACTCCGCAGATCCGAGAGCAAGACAAAGAGCCTGGGGCGGCGCGGGGCCGGGCGGCGGCGGCGCGCACCGGGGTGGGAGGCGAGACGACGGCGGGCGGGCGGACGGACGGACAGACAGACGGTCGGCGCGCTCCGGGAGAGAGGGCTGGGGCGCGGCGATCAAAGGGCGGCAGCGCGGGCGCGAGGGGAGAGGTGGGAGAGTCGAGCGCAAAAAAAGGAGCCCAAGTGTAGTTTAAAAAAAAAAAGAAGTAATCAAAAAAATCCCAGATTTGTAGCCGCACTGTAGACAAGAGGAAAATGGAGAAATCTCCCTGGTCGCTAATAAGATGCGGGGTCCAACGCCCAAGTGCACAGATGAATGGGCTCGCGGGCGCTGACGCGGCCCCCGCGCGCGCCGGCCAATCCGCGCGCCGCACACAAAGCAGGGGGCGGGGCCAGCGCTCCCGGCGAACAATGGAGCCGCGCTTTGCGAACGGTTTGAAAAATCCGTCTCGGCCGAGAATTAATGTCCTCCAAATAAATAAATCAATTAAAAAATACATGCCTCTCGGCTCCCTCCGCTTGCAAATCATAATGTGGCCCTCGATTGGCTTGCTTTGTTTGGAATTAATTAACGAGGGAGGGGGTACTTGTGGACGGGGCGGAGACAGCGTTAACTTGACTGCCGCGACTCTGGCGTCTGTCTCCGCGTCCGCCTCCTCCCCGCCCCCACCCCGTGTGTTTGCGTGTGTGTGTGTGTGTGTGTGTGTGCGTGTGGTGCAGACAATGGGTAGGACCAGGTTGTTTGCAGCCTGTTTTCTTTCTCCACGTTCCTTATGGGATTCGCAGACAGTGCGCAGGGCTGGCTTGCTTTCTTTTTTTAAACTGCTGCAATTGCTAAATCTTCCCACATTGAAAGGTATTTAAACCACGAAGATCGAATTTCATCAAACCAGATCTCGAGTTGGAATTAGGTCTGTAGGCCAGATGTGGAAAATGCAAAAGCAGCAAACAGCAGAAGCCACACTCTCTTCCCTCTCCCACATTGGCGTGAAATAAAATATTTTGCGATTGGCCTTCCGAGTTCATCAGATTCCACCTCTCTGGTTATGCATTCCCGATTCGGGATTACTTTTCACATGGAAAACGAGAGCCTTTTGCAGAAGATCGAGATTGCTCGCGTTTCGTCACCGTGAATGACATAATTTCCCTCTGTGCGGAGACCCAGCCCGGAGAGTCCGGTCCGCGTTTGCAGTTGGAGTGCTTCGGTCCACGGCCGTAGGGCTCGTTTTCAGCCTCCCGCCGACCTCGGAGGGGTTCCTTTGTTTTGACTGTGAGAGTGTGGCCCCGGCAGGGCCGGCAGGCCGCCGGCGGCGGTGAGGTTCTAGACCACGACTCGGATCACGACTAGGCAGAAGCCTCCTGCGGTCCGGGCAGCGTGAGGCTCGGGCGCCCGGGTCCCCTCGGTGTGTAAACAGGTCCTGGCCCGGCCGCCGCACCCTGGTTCCCAGCGCCCGGCGCTGGTGGCTGTGGGGGCTTTAATTTAACGTGCCTGGAGGGTCAGGCGTGCACCCAACAAGCTGGTCCTCTACCACCCGTATTGTGGAGAAAAACCCACCACACCATCTTTCTAGTTTTCACCTAGTGATCGATCCTGCAGTGTGAGTGATCTTCCCCTGTGGACCTGAGAAGCAGTCGAGGGAATGGCTCTCTTTTGGTTCTAGCTCTGAAATCTCAGCTTTATTTTCTGCTCATTGTAGGGAAATAGGTCAGACTCTGAGTGAAAAAGACAGCTGGTTCCAGCCAATAACTCTTTGTTCAAGTGTTGTTTTGGAAATCACCAAGCTGAACGTCGTTACGCGAAGCGCCACCTCCTCGCTGTCCAGCTCCCGCGGACGCCTTACTGGATCGCGAAGTCAGTCCACACGGCAGACGGAAGGCCGCCTTCGCGGAAAGGCAGCGCGCTGCAAGGCCTGAGACCCGGCGCAGCACGCCACGCACGCCTCTCCTCCGCACACCTCCCACCCGAGCGGCCGACCCGCTCGCCGTCCGGAGATCCCGAAGGCGCGCTTAAGGCTGTTGGTCCCCCACCCCCAACGTGAATTGCCCCCCTTCCTCCTCACCCCCTTTCTGCTTTAGATTGGGTGACTGCTAGCTCGCTTTCGGATTTTCTCCCAGACACGTCCCTCGCCTCTATTTGGGGGCTGCTCTGATTGCTCCTTTGTTACCAGGCTGCAGTGGAGCTTTCCCCCTTTTCTTTCTCGAACGCCTATTTGGCGGTATCGGCGCGTCTCCCAGGCAACGGCCAGGGCTGCGGGAGCCGGGGGAGGGGGCGGGGTGGGCCTCGCGGGCCAATCGCTAGGGCGGGCGGGCGAGTGTAAACACTGTGTACATGCGCTTCCCCCGCACCGCGAGCCCGGCCCGGCGCCCCCAGCCTCGCGCCCGCTCCCGGGAAGGGGTGCGTGTGGAGCAGGGCGCCGGCGGGCTGGGAGAGGGGTGAAGTGGGTCTTCTCGGGGAACCGCGAAGCGGGAAGGCGCCGCTTGCGGAGCCCGGGTTCCAGTGCGGCGCGAGGCATTCCCGGCCTCTCCCCAGGGCCCTCGAGGTCGGGGCCGCGTGGGGCTGGCACCGTGACCGACTCGCCGGGAGGACGCCGGCCTTCAGCCTTTGTTGGTGTTCCCTTTTTCCCTGCCCTAGACTATTTCGAACATAATGATAATCTGTGTATGGCTTCCTCCAGAAAAAGAACGATTTACATAGGAGCCCTGAGTTGTTTTTCCTTAAAATGACAGGACTTGAGAAATTTTAGAGATCAAGCTGCGTACTCTAGCGAGCCTGTGGGTGTCGGACGTGCTGCCCAGGCCTTCGCTCCAGGGAGGACAGTCAGCTCTTGCGGACTCGGCCTAGAAGAAGGGGCCCGGGAAGACCCAGGCGCTGGATCCAGGACTGGGCTCTCTGTTTTCTGATTCTGAACCTGGCGCGCTTCCGCCCAGCAGGGCCTGAGATGGCAGGGTTCCCTCCGTTTATGAGCTGAGTACCGGGGGGGGGGGGGGGGGCGGCTAAGGCACCAGTTAATGCCAGGAAGGAATACGGACATGTTCTTTTGTATTACTCTTTCCTGAAAACTTCTTAAAATACGAAGAAAAAGCGTGAAAGTAAAGATTAAATATGTTTTAAGAAAAGTGTAAAAGATGAGGGCCACTTCCTAGATTCCAAATTACATATGCCCCTTTCATGGAAAGTGTTCATGCAGCCTTCACAGCATGAGGACCCCGCTGGTTCTCCGTCCTTCATCACAGTGTAGATTTCATACGGCGATCTTTAATGCCACAGAAACTGATTACCGTAGAGTAGTGGGAAGCCAAATAGACACCGCCCCTTCATTTATTCAGCAAATATTTATTGATTCCTATCGTGGGCTGCTCACTTGCGATATATCAAGGAACAAAGCAGACAAGAAATCTTTATGCACTATACACGATAGGGTGCGTGGAAAAACACCAGTAAATAAATGTAAGTGATCTGAGATATTAGACGTTTGTAAGTGTTGTGAGGGGAGAAAAAACCCAAAGTGAAGGAGGGAAAGGCTTCACTGAGAAGCTAAACTCTGAGCAGATTTGAAGAGTGAGGGAACTAATGAGAATAGCCCACTCAAGTACTTTTTAATAGTAAGAAAGGGAGAAATAGAGTTAAGAAAACAAATAGAAATGTAATTTTATATGGTGGTTGTATGTGCCCTGCGGGACAAGGCCGGGTGCTATCAGGTAGTATGATTGATTAGGAACATTAAAGAAGTCCTTTTCAAAGGAGTGCCTTGAAATGGGAAGCCAGGGCAGGAGTAGGCCTAGCGAAGCAAGGAGGTGGAAGGTTGGGTCCAGGTGGTACAAGTGTAGTGGCCCAGGACAGTACAGAGATTGGCATGGGGTGGGAGGAATGCCAGAAGATCAGTTCGGACATATTTGGTAGTGTCTGTAAGACATCCTAGTAGAAAAGTCAAGTGCACAGGTACACGAGAGTCTGGAGTTCAAAGTGGTTCAAATATAAATATGCATTTGTGATTATTCCATATGTAAGTATTTTCAGAAGGAACAGGAATTACAAAAGGTCATAGGCTTATGCAAAAGACTGCAAAAGTCATCAGCTAAGAGTGAGGAAGGGAGGGTGGAGGTGGAAAGTATGGAATATTGATGGGAGGCATAGGACTGGGGCTCCTGGGCGTGATGAGGCTACTAGCAACAATGTGTGCCCGTTTGGGTTTGATAAACCTCAGTGCTGCTTAGTGAAGGCAGCAGTTTCTCTCACATATAAACTTTCCATTGAGTAATGGAATCCATGACAGTGCTTTAGGACTACCATGCATTCACCCTCTCAGGCTGTATCCAATTTATATTGTACCTATATAGTCACAACTGTACAAGTATAGATTAAAGTAGCACTGTGTGATAAAGCTTGATCTCAGTTAATTCTATGTGATTTCATACAGATATATAGAATAAAGAAGAGGATCTACTGTATACCAGGGTCTGTACTGGATAAGTCTTATTGGGCTTGTATTTTACCCTTATAATGCCTCCATGGATTTATATTATTATTCTCATCTTACAGATTTAGAAATATATTCAATCAGATTAGGAATGTAAAATTCAGCAGTATATTAACCATTTTCATTGAGGGGTGCAGTATCTGGCTTCTATTCTTCCTTATTAGAAATCTATTAAAGGCGCAAATGATAGTAACAAGCATAGAAGCTTTTAAATAGAAGTTTTATTAATTTTAAGACTTGATGTTAAAACTGCAATTTTGTGTAGATTTTGCTTTAGCCTACTTTAACTAGCCCACTTTATTAGTGTTCTACCTAGTCCCACTCACATGGACTCTCTCATGCTTGGGAGCATCGCTGCTTGTTTGTCCTGACCTGAAGAATCAAGGACCAGAATATCTATGACAGAAGTGAGGATTTGGAATGTTAGGCTCTTCCTAGATACAGGGGTAATCGCTACAATGCCACTGTGAGCTTGTGATTATTATTGGCCACTGTTCATTAGGCATGCCAACTGAACTAACAAGAAGTTTGTATTTGAAAGATAATAAAAAATTAGCCTCCACTCTAGAGATAGGTAAACAAAAGGCAGAAAATAATGAAACAAAAAGTTTCCTCCAGAAATTTTGAGTCATATCTTATTCATAGAAGTATTTCTCAGAAGTTGCAATACCTACCCTCCAGGAACAGACTGAAAACTTTCCATATAAGCTTTTGCAAGAACAGAACTGGAGAAGGGGTACCAGCATCATTCCCTTCTCAACTTTGTTCTCAGCGATAATGGGTGGGTGAATAAAGAAACATAATCTGTTACTTCCTTCATTAAATTGATTCCTAAGTACTTCATTTTTTTTGATGCTATTGTGAAAGATGTGGTTTCCCTAATTTCTCTCACAGTGAGTTTATTGTTCGTGTATGGGAACACTTTTGATTT